TCCAAATCTAATTGGGACTTGATCAAAGAATTAGCGCAATCCTTCAGTGCGCACGCCCGATGGCGTATCAGACGATCTAGACTATCCGCGTTCGGGTTATATTCTAAAGCGTTACTTGTAATGAGATCAATGTCAAGTAAGTACTCGGCACATGTTTGATATTGGTGGCCATCAACTTTTTGAAGCATGGTAGTCAGGTCCATGGGATTTTCAATAACATCCAAATAATCTGCAACCTAAGGTACAAGGAAAGGGTGTGTTAGTGAGAAGGAAAGATAGAAGACTAAAGCTAAAACTGACTTTCTTCATACTGGATAGCTCTATCTGTTCTAAACTGTTCTCTCTAGAGGTCCTGTAAGACTGATCTCTTATTGATCCAGTGTTACTACAGGAGGAAACCCAAACTAAACTAACTTTATTTATACTGGATAGCTCTATCAGTTCTAAATTGTTCTTCCTAGAGATCCAGTAAGGATCATCTCTTATTGATCCAGTGTTACTACAGGAGGAAACCCAAACTAAACTAACTTTATTTATACTGGATAGCTATCAGCTCTAAATTGTTCTTCCTAGAGATCCAGTAAGGGTTATCTCTCATTGACCCATGCAGTGTTACTACAGGAAACCTAAACTAAACTAATTTTATTTATACTAGAAAGCTGACAACAGCATACAGCAGAAATCGAAGCCCGGTCATAGTGGTAAAGGTAGGGTGAGGCGGTTTTTCGGTAAACCGAAAAAAAACGATGTTTTTTGAAAACCGAAATATTCGATGTTACTTTTGGAGAAAAACCGGAAAACCGAAAAAACCGAAAAACCGGGGGAAAACGAAGAAAATCGGTATTTTACTGAAATCGAACCATACTTATACGAGTTTGATGCAATTGAATCACGTTTTGGCATTTACACACGAAAAACTAAAGAGAGTTTGTTTGAAATTTGATAACGTCTTCAAAATACCTTACGTTTAATATCTTGGGTGAGTACTCAGTAGCGTGGTGTCTTTTTTTACAGTAGTTTTGATTTTCGAACGTATGTTTTAAAAAAACCGGTTCACTCGGTTTTCTCGTTTTTTTCCAGTCGGTTTTCGGTTTTCGGTTTTTTGTAGAAACCGCCTCACGCTAGGTAAAGGCACAAGCACTATAACCACTTTGCCACCCAACTTACCTCTTCTAGATCAACAGGTTTATAGAATTCCTTGAACTTCCTGTCACTCATCAACTTGACAGTAATTTCTCTCAAGAATATCCTCAGCTCTCTCAGCGTGTTCTCTTCGTGATCGCGCACCCTCTCCAGCTCTGTCACGCTCAGTTCACGTGGCTCAGGAGCTGACGCAACCGGTAGAACTTCAAGAGGTTTCTTTGTTTCTGTTAAAATAAAGAACAAGAATAAAGAAGGCGTTGTATGTACTGGGAGGTTTCGGTAAGTGTTACGTCCGTCAACACTTGACGGATAGAGATAAACTAGAAAATATATTTCCCTTCTTGAAAGCAAAATCCAAAAATAAAATTTCCTGGGTGAATCAAATATAAAACATCCTGCATATGTAGATTTCAGAGAATGTATGGTGCCACGCATCCTGATAAACCTCAATCACGGTACAAGACAATCTGGACTTGCAAAACGCTTTTAGACTTTTTTAAAAACAGAAAGTAATTTTTTTCTGTGTTGGTGTTATGTACTCAGGTGAATATGATGTTTGTGATGTTGGGCTAGTATTCCAAAGGTCGTAGGTTCGATTCCCACCGTGGCCAGGCATATTTTTCAAGTTTGCCCGGTGTGGATACACACTCAGAGTAACCATAGGCAGCCCACTAAACGACTGAATTCAAATTAAAACTATAATGAAATTATAAAATTTAACGAAAATAATCACAAATTAGCGAAATATATTGCAAAATGTAGCTTATATTAAATCTCCACTCGATTGCACTATCGGCGAACTGACGTATATTAAAGTATACCTAAGGTTGGCAAGAGGTTTTAACTGATTGAACTACACACAAAAATATATCCGTAATATTAACGTAAGTAACGAACGAAATCGCTGACGACGAAACTTGCTACAGCCAATGAACAGCAGAGTTTTATTTTGAAAAAATTGTCCAGTAGCAGGATGCGAGCATCCCGCATAGTCACAGAGAAAAATATCGAGAAAACACCGTAAACGTTCGTAAATTTATCAACATTTAAAGCTGTACTTTGACAAAAAAAGTTACAGACAGGTTAGTAAAATTATCCTTGTTTATGTTTATGTTTATGTTGTTTTTAGGGCTAGTTTCTTTCTGCTTTTTAAAATACTACGGATATATTTTTGTGTGTAGTTCAATCAGTTAAAACCTCTTGCCAACCTTAGGTATACTTTAATATACGTCAGTTCGCCGATAGTGCAATCGAGTGGAGATTTAATATAAGCTACATTTTGCAATATATTTCGCTAATTTGTGATTATTTTCGTTAAATTTTATAATTTCATTGTAGTTTTAATTTGAATTCAGTCGTTTAGTGGGCTGCCTATCGAGTAACATCACAAACATCAGAAAGTAATTTGTATGGCATTCCAGTATATAAGATGACAAGAATTTCCTGGGAAGATATTTTGTCAAAAATTTCCTGTAAGTGGTGCTGCTGGCATTGGCGGACATTTTCCAGTACTGAAGATAAAGACCGTTTAAGTGAAGCTAAACTGTCCACTCTGTTAGGAGCAAGCGAAATAAACCACGGAACTCACTTGTTGTCTTTGTTACACAAGGTAGTTTGACGGCTTCAGTTAGGAACAGGGGTTCTAAGTAAGCACTTCGTTCTTTCGTTGTAGGATATGGTACTTCAAATACCTGGAAAAGAACGAACTATAGCATTCAGTATATATCTCTAGAAAGATCAGTATATATCTCTACAACAATCGAATCTACATATCCGTCTATACTAAACTAAAACTATACATGTAAACTATCTATATTTATACTGGATAGCTCTATCTGTTCTAAACCTAGAGGTTCATTAAAGGCCATCCACTATTGGCAAAGTGCATGTAAAAATCTTGCATATGTAGATTTCAGGGGACGGCGAAGTATGCCGAAACCAGGGTACTTTAATATAGTCACAAACCGTGGGTTATAAGGTATTCCGAAAACAAGCGTACTTTCTAGCCACAAAGCGTGGCTATAAATGTTTCGTACAAAACAATCTTGATTTGCAAAACGCATTTGTAAACAATACGTAAATTATATTGGATTCAGCAGTGCAACCCTCTCCCCGTGTGGAAAGGAAAGTAGAAATCTAACCTGTTCAAAGCCGAGTGAAAACAACACAGCCAATTCAGGTGGTATTCTCGAAGCTGGTAAATCACACGTGGCAAACAACAGCAATGGTAAGTTGGGGGGCAGATCATTCACAATTGACAGAAATGTCGCCTTTAATGTATCCGTTGTAGTAGACCACAGCGAATCGATATGGGGAAGATATACTATAGACGGGGCCACACGACGCGCTTCTCGAAATATCTGCAAGAAATGAGAGTATATATATATACATATATATATATATATATATATATATAGTATGTACTGTATAGTCTGTAGAAAGTATATATGTTATGATCCCAAGCCCGCAAGGCCCATCACCCTACCTGTGCGCAGGCTTCCTCGGGGGTTTTTGAAGCACAACCAAACAAAGCAGGGAGATCCAAACAATGAACAGGAATATGCTCCATTGAATGCAGTATAGCTGGGCTTACATGAGTTGACTGACTCATGCCGCGTTTGCCGCACACCAGAAACCGCGGGCGATGAACAAGTTTTGACGTCATAGTGTTTTCAGCGAAATAATGGAACTGGTTACCAGTCCCAATCGCCGTAGATTTTATTCCAGCACGTCTCGCAGCACGTGCGGCTCTCGCTTCGGTCGAATTCGGATCAAACTCGTAAATGTCCGCCTCGTCTCCGGCATCATCGGAGGATTCAGAGTCACTCACGGCGAAGTTGGTCACGGAACTGCTTGGTGATGACTCACCAACTGAAATGGAGTGGAAAATATTATGCACCAGTAAGAAGAATAGGGGTGGATCTACCGGTGGGGTGCAGGGGGGTGCGCCTCCCCTAGTGGTGTCCGGCACCCCTTTGAAGAAAACTCTATTTCATATTTGAGTTGGGAATACTACACTTATTATATTGAAACGATTCCATTGATTTTCGAATATGCGAGAAAATATTCAAGCACCAATACGGCGGGTCACCAAACAACGGCGCACTTTTCTTAATTTTTTGGAATAAACTTCATGTACCCTTCATTATAGTATATCAGATTGACCCCCCC